CCCCCTCCGCACCTTGGATCCGCCAATGCAATTTTCCCAACTTCTCCTTAAAACAGGGAGGGGTGCTAGTGACGCCCAGATGTAGAAAAATAGGATAATTCCACCAAAGCACAGTGTAAATCATCGTTCTTGAAAATTGCATTATAAGGAAGCTGTTTGCAAAATAAGTTTCAGTAGGTGCAACGGAAACAGAATCTTTGATACCATATTAAAAAAAAGAAATCGAATTTCTCCTGTATCTGTTCGATATAAGAAATCTGAGTTCAGATTGCTTTAGAATATCACCTCGGACTTACTTCTGGGGATGGAACGAAACTTGGGACTACTAGCAAGCTGACCAACAAGCGTTGCTTTATCGATCAAGAACAGCTTAAAAAGTTGCTATTGGTATTAAGTTGAGAGCCGTAGGCTATGAATTACATTTGATCTCTGGTCTTTTTATTATAAAAAGTTAATATTGTTTTTTTTTCTTAATATTTTTACTTTGATAAGTGTAATATTGTTTTCCAGCAAGCTATTCGCAATTGAACGAATCTTGCAACTTCCAAGGTGGTCATTATAGATGTAAGTGCTTCCGGCGCTTTTTTTTTCTGGGAAAAATTTCCTTTTTTGCGTTTTCATCGTATCGTATGTTTATGGCACATTGTCGCTACTGGCAGTATGCCAACACTGCTTTTCCGTGCCATTTTAGTATTGGTGTGGCCTTTGCCAGTTTGCTTTGAAGTAATTTAGCAACATAGGCATATCGGTATTCTTCATCCATCATAAGACAGTGATTTTTTGTCTTTTTGGATCTTTTTTAACTTTTTTAATTAAACTAAAATTATTAAAATTAAAAGCTTTAAAAATTGATTAAAATTATTCAGCTTTAAAAATTAATTTAAAAATTAATTAGAATTATTTATTGAGCTTCTTCTGTTTTCTTGCATTCTTATTGATGAATAGCACCTAATTCTGTGTCTTAGGCTTTATACGGAAAAATTTTTTCTTTTTTTTGCACTGAAAAAATGTGACATCTTTAGGGGATGAGGCCTTTTTCAAAGACACTGATAAAATACATTTTGAATTGCTTTTTTCCATCAATGAAATTCTGATAAAGTTTTAAAATTTTCAGATAATTTGGATGTGATCCGGCTGCCCTCCACGCCAAGTTTGTTTAATTATCCTTATTGTTATTACTTTTTTATTGCAGTAGCTAACAATCATGATAGTCTTAACTAGAAATTTCCTTCAGCTCATTTGCTTTTTTTAAGGTTTTGATAAACGTGCAGGCCCGCCAAAGTTTTTTTCGAGTAAGTTGCTAACTCGGAAACTTGGAAAGTCTAGAAAGCTGGAATTACAGGGGGATGTTTTCAGACAGCCCTGGTAGCTAGTCTCAATTATCTTAGCGTAGAATTTGCCGGAAAAACCGGTGCAATTAGTGACAAAAACCTGCGGAGAACTTTGCAAAAAAAACGCACCTTCGCACTGGCAGCCGGTACGCTGGCGATTTATTTTGTGGCTAGGCAGCATTTCTTCTAATAGACCTCAAAGTACTTTGGCCCCTTCACAGTGTTTTTGACTATAAAATTACAGTGTCTGATCACTGGTGTTCAATATCATATTACGAATTGGATACGCAAATCGGTGAAGCATTTCGAGTGCGAAAAGACCAAACTGAAGTGAGTGGTTTTTTTTTCTTCTCTGGGAAGTATGCATTCTGCAGGTCTTGCCTTTTTGTTTTTTTTTTAAGAAATTACTAAAAGATAAAAAATATGCCTTAAAATTTTAAGAAATTAATATGCTTTAAAATTTTGATGACTTTTATTTTATCATCGCTTCTCTTCCCGACACTGATGCAGTTGACAACTTCTGTTTTGAGCACCTCTCATCTCTCATTAGATTTTTGATAATTTATAATAACCAGTCCAAACAATAGTAAAATTATGACAACTAATCTTATGAACTTCAGAGTAGGAAGTAACGAATGCAATAAGAAATAAAAAAAAAGCTCTGAATTGGAATGTTTCGGTCCACGTAGCCATTGATTGTTTGGTGTTTGCTTTGCATCGGCGGCCCTCATGCTCTTTAACATTGCGCGGTAGCATTTTACTAAACCGCCTTATCCATCTGTTGTCTCTCATTCTTGCCAAATGATCAACTCAGCTTTTGTTTTTGGCGTACAGA